AAGTTAAACTTCCCCATTAACTGCCAATCACCATTTCAATGAAACAGTTAATACTTAATGGCTAAAGTGGTGGTTTACATAATAGTGACTGATATACCACAAGATTAAGTACAGTTTTGGCAGAATCTATATCAACAAACTAAAAACTGTACATTATTTCCCTGTAACTTTACAACTGTGCAGGCACACACCGAGCTATATACTCTGCCCCATAGATACCATAGTAATCACCAGACCTGAAAAACAGAGGAATGGCTGTTTTCTCCCAGATCAGTAGTCAGATCTGATACAGGACTCACTAATTTAAATTAGTGAACAAAAAGTATTTAGCTCCTGCTTTCTTTCCCAAGCTTGTTGTTCTGAGAGCAACTGCACTCCTGTATAGACACAGGAAAAGTAAACGTCTATTCCAGAAATGACCAAATTGTCCACAGCTATTACATTTGTTTTGTCATTTTGTGGATCAGAATGCACTCTATCTACATCACAGGCGCAGCCAGAATGGTAGGTTAGATATATATTTAATAGTCTGCCAGCAGCCAGTTGGACTGAACCAGATCACCATATGCAACTTGTGGGTGTGGCATCATCTGTTCCAGTCTTTTGTAATATGCATTTAGCACTCTTGTGTGCTGTGTCTTTGTTAGAGCCACTGTAACTACTACTGCAACATGTTTGAAATAAATATTTCAGTTAGAGACATAACTCAACTAATGTCACCAACATTCACTAGGGAGTCTCTCTAAAAATTTAAACAGATTTATCCTCTTATTCCACTTCTAGTATGCAGGGGTACACTTTACTGCATTGCAGCTTAATGACACACACATCTCAGTTTTCAAAAGCATCATCAACCTTTAGTTTTGTCTGCATCACTGTAACAATGGCTTCCCAGCTCTAGAATTGATTAGGTTCCAAATATTCTATGGCACCTGCCACTGTATTTCCCAAACTAAGCAATAGACACTGCATGATTTGTTCTTGTACTGAGTAATTCCATTTAGCTAAATAGTAAAATTGCTTAAAGAAACAAATTAAGTGTTCTTTCATCAAACCCACAAACAACAGAGGCAAAAGGTGTTTCACCTCACTAGTTCCTACTGATTGTAGCAAGGGCAACCTAAATCATATATTTCATTCCATTGAAATTACTGTAGAGCTAATATGAGTGTGGGCTTCAGCTCTTCCCTAATGGCCCGAATTCTTACATTTTGCATAATGTTGAAATCTTCCTATTGCTCTCTTGAGAGATACGTTGCCATGACCAACAAACCTCTTCTCATAATCAGAAGGCAGTAGTTAGGGAGTCTGTTCAGCCACTGCATGAATATTACATAACTACTGCTCAATATGCAAATCAAATTATACCTACACCTGAGAGGTAAATAAATGTTATGTAATAAGCAAATTATGTCGACACTTAAGGGTTATATAACTGTAATAGGCATCAGAGGGCGCATCACTAGGGTCATAGTTCCGCGAAGTGGCACCAGAGAACACTGTTGTCTTAAGGGAGGGGTGACATCATATTTTCATACCAGAGGGCCTGTTACTATAGGCAGATGCTGTTACCAAGGTTCTATAGGTGGCCAGTGTTATTAATGTTCTATATATGGACAGTGTTACTATATATGTTTATAGTTTTCACTTACATATTTAATTGTGTTACTTGAGTTCTACAAATGAGGTTTATGTTTGTGTTATTAAGGATCTATTGGGCGTGTTGCTAGGGTTATTGCTATTAGGGCGGATAGTGTTTCTATAAACGGATACTTCTATACTATGATGAGCTCATGAAAGGCTGAACATGTGATTTCATCATCAGTATTATAGCCTAGATTTAAATATATGTCCTAAAGAGTTACAAGTAAAACAATTATTTTAACAAGACAACTATTATAGCATAGTGTACTATATATGCCAGTTTTTATTGCACATACTATCTTGATTTATCCATTACTTGAATTAAGTAAATATTATAGAATAGCCAATAATTTATTTTACATACTTTTAGAATTATCTGTCCTGAAAGGGTTTTATCATACCTAATATTTGTTTTTTTAAATACCCAATGAAACATTTAGTATAGTTGATTGTGTTTTTTAGGATTTAGTACACATTTAACATACTGTAATATAGTTTTCACTTCTCTGTTTAATTTGCATAACATACTTTTCACAATTTTTTGGAAGTGAATAGAATATATTATTATGGAAGGCATTAAAAACACAATAATGTCAGGGATATTACCGTAAGAGGAATTTCGTGGTATCTTCTCAGTCCGAACTCGTTTTCTTACTATACACCTGGAAAAAAGTTAAGCACCCCCAAATATTTTTCAGGATTGCTTATTGAAAATAAGGTTTAATTTTCATGATGTTGAGCAATGTTCATAATTTCAAACATAATTAAAAGGATGTGAGCGTTCAG